GGCCATATAAATCTTTCTTTTAGTAGTTTGATAGTAACGCTGACACCGGGATGAGACAAGTTATGTAACTTCTCGAATACTGTATGTCTCATAGCTGCTGGGACGAAAGGTCGATATTTACCTGTAGAGGTGTCGCAGATTATTTTTGTCGTGCCAAAAGGAATTGCGTCTAGCTTTAAAGATGTTGTTTTAGAAGACATGATCTTCTTTAGTTCGGCATCATCTCGTTGTAAGTTTGAGAGACGTTCGTAGTCGATGTCTGGGCATACAATGTTGTCAATGTGCACACGTGATAAAGCGTCTGCCACTTCATTGTGTTTACCCTTCACATGTCGCAGATCAGAGGTGAACTGAGATATAAACTCGAGATGTCGTAGTTCACGCGGAGAGTAGTTATCCTGTTTTGCTGATAAGGCTTTCGTTAGAGCTTTATGGTCTGTAAAGACAGTAAAAGCTGTACCTTCCAGCATATGTCGGAAGTGCTTGATTGCTAAATAAACAGCCAATAACTCTCTACCAAAAGTGCTATAGCGACATTGAGTAGGATTCAGTCGTTTCGAAAAGAATGCTAGGGGTTGCCATTCGCCGTGTACCTGCTGTTGTAAAACTGCCCCGATGGCAACGTCTGAAGCGTCTGTCATGAGAGACAGAGGAGCGTCATTTTGACGTCTGACTAAGAGCGTCTTGTCATTTAACAATTGTTTGACAGTTTCGAATGCTTTGACAGCTTCTGCAGGCAAATGGAATGAACGACTATGTCCACGTAAGCAATCGGTTAATGGTTGTAAAGCTTTAGCACAGTTCGGTATAAAACGCCGGTAAAAATTAACGAGACCCAAAAATCGTCGTAATTTCTTAAAAGAATCTGGTAATGGATAATCTTTGATGGCTTGTACGTCATCAGGGACTGGTCTGATTCCTTGGCTGTCGATTAAATGACCGAGGAATTTCAGTGAGGTCTTACCAAATTCGCATTTGTCTAAGTTGATAGTCATGCCGTATTGGTTAAGTCTGTCAAACACAGTCTTCACATGTTTCAAATGCTCGGCTTCGTCTGCACTTGCAATTAGTAAGTCGTCAATGTATGCGTAGACGAAAGGGAGACCACAGAGTACTTGGTCAATTAGGCGTTGGAATGTCTGAGCGGCGTTCATAAGTCCGAATGGCATGCGTACGAATTCATATAAACCGAATGGTGTGGTAATGGCAGTTTTCGGAACGTCATCCGGGTGGATGGGGATATGATGATACGCTCTGACAAGATCGATTTTAGAGAAAATTTTAACATCTGGTAAGTTGCTAGCGAAGTCGTGGATGTGTGGTATTGGGTATCGATCAGGTACCGTTTGCTTGTTTAAGGCTCGATAATCACCACACGGCCGTATCCCACCAGAAGACTTTTTGGGCACCATGTGAAGCGGTGAAGACCAAGAGCTGTTGGACGGTCGAATAATACCAAGCTCTAGCATTTTATCGAACTCTGTTTTGGCGATTTTAAGTCGATGCGGGTCAAGGCGTCGGGGACGTGCAAAAACTGGTGGTCCAGTGGTTTTAATATGATGAACCACATGATGCTTCGGTTCTGTTCCTCGAACAGAAGGTTGTAAAAGGTCAGGAAACTGATTTACCAAATTGGTATATGGAGATGCTGGTGTGCGTGTGACCATCAAGTTCAACGATGATGCACGGCTAATTGTACCAGCAATGTACGTTTTATTGAGCGAATCTATTAGCTTGGGGCTTATCGGATCAACTAACAGTTTGTGTTGCTGTAGAAAATCGATACCGAGGATTGGGGATGGGACGTCTGCAATGATGAAAGACCAAGTGTAGGTATTCTTTAAACCAAAATCTAAAGTCATTCGTTTAGTTCCATATGTAACAATACTGGACTGATTAACAGCTTGGAGCGTAACTGCTGGGTCAGGATGTTGACGTTCCTGTGTAGACGGAGGGAGAACACTCACCTCTGCTCCTGTGTCGACTAAGAATGTAGTACCGGTATTTTTATCAGTTACATAAAACAAATGACTGTTAGATCGTAGGTTGCCAACAGTATTTTTTACACATGACGATATATCTTTTGGTTTAGCCTGAAAGTTGCAAGGTGAACGGCACCGCCGTGCATTGCTTCCATAACTACGGTGATACCAGCAAATACTATCGCGATGTCGTAACGTGCTAGGGGATCGAGAAAGACGTCGACGAGACGAGCTTCTAGAACGGCTTGGTTGTGTGCGTGTAGTCAGTTTTGCTAACTGACTCAGTAAGGTGTCAACTTTGTGTTCTAGAGTCTGTATTCTATCGTGAGTGTCTGGTATTCTGCTAGTGGAAGCGACAGATTGAGGTGTTGACCTCTCGTACATGCGATCCGCGATTTCGGTGAGCCTTTCTATGTCAATGTCGTCATCTCCGAAAGCAAGAACCTGCTGGATGTTTGCGGGAAGTCGTCGTAGCCAGATTCGGTAAAAGAGACGTTTATCGATTTCTCTTCCGGCAACTAGGCTTTGCATATGCCTCATGAGTTGAGATGGGGTTTTATCACCTAGCTCAACATTGCTTAACAGGCGATTGAGTGCTCGCCTATCAGAAAGCGAAGTGCATCGCAGTACCTCTTCCTTCAGCTTGTCGTAAGGTGCTTCTGTGCTGGGATGAACGATGTATTGCCGTACCTGCTCGGCGACTTCGTCTGGTAGTACTGTACTCAAAATGCCGAATTTAGCTGTCTGTGACGTGAGCTTATTGCTAGCCAAATAATGTTCCAGTCGAGCGAACCAAAGATGAGGGTCTCTGGGCTTAAAAACTGGTACAGTAAGAGAAATAGTACTAACAGATCCCAGCTCTAAGTTATCAGAGGTATTGGAAGACATGTTACAATCCGTAAAAAAATGGTTTAAGAGTAGCAAAATAGCAAAAATTGTGCACAATAAGAATATGGCAAAATAAAAAAGCATACAATGCAGGTGCTTACCACAAATCACTGCAGGTTGTGCTATGAGCAAACACAAGAATGAGTTCGAATTGTTTAATAAATATATAAATCCGCGAAAGTTAGAGTTTTAATAATCCAGCAAGTGTACGACGCGTCGGGGTCAAAAAGTCGTCGGAGTCAGCAATTTGTCGTCGGGGTCAGCAATTTGTCGTCGGGGCTCACCAATTTGTTGCGTGTTCTATTTGACTAAATTAGCGTACACGTATTTCCTAGTACTTCTTCACGTTTATCAATGTGCGCAGACGTTGTGGCTACTCGACGCCCACAACGTAAAATCAGAAGGCACTTGTGAAGAGTATAATCGTGTATTATAGCAGTAGTCAAATTTCGAAATTGTATCAAGGTAACGTTCAACAGTAAATTGACAAATGTTTACGAAGTGCATATAAAATCGACATGTGTAAACATATAATATGAGTACGCAAATTAGATTAAAATCGTATGTTTATAGCTGGTACAGGGGTACTACACACTGAATATGTGAACAAGGGAGGGAACTATCATAGAGCTGGTGAAATTCTATGTAGTTATCCATATATTTCACGACAGATTTGAAGAATTGTAAAGCTTCCGAAATATCTCTCACACTTTATCTTCTGTAAAAAGCAAATATTATACGTGTGACTCTCTTATCCATCCATTACAACCAACTTAAAGAGATCAAATCACCAAAACTTTTTACTTCTTTGATTAAGTTTTTTATTCCTTCACGTTCCCAGCGGAACATAGGGCTTCAAGCTAGAGGCTTGGAGTTTCAGTAGCAGTGGTGTTTATTTTTACGAGATGGGGTTGCTAGCCTCATGCCCAACCTTTCCTCTTTACCAGCTCTATTCCTGGCTTAGCGACGTGAAGGAGTGCGTCGGCCGGGGGTCGAACCCCGGATCATGTGCATGGTCGGCGAACGTACTAACCGCTGTGCCACCGACGCATATTTTGATTAAGTTACCCCGTGATATTCTTCTTGTAAGTGGATCCAATGCTTACCACATCTGTGAAATTTATACGCATGTTAACTTGTTCCCTTAAGCTAAAAAATATAACGTCTATCCGACTTTATTATTTCTCCTTCCAAGCTTGCCTCAGTAACGCACAACACGTATTAGCCGCACATTTTTGTGCAAAGGAAAACCATATGACGAAAGGCTGAAGAAATTAGGCCTATTCACACTCAGTTACCGTCGCCTGAGGGGGGATTTAATTACTGCCTACAAAATAACAAATGATCACAATCACCCGAACAAAGGTGTTCTGCCACTGAGTAGGTATAGGCTCCCTCGTGGAAATCCTAGAAGGATAGCTCATCAGAGGGCAAGGACCCGGGTGCGCTCCCACTTCTTTTCCCTGCGGGTTTGCCGTCCCTGGAATTCCTTACCGGTAGATGTAGCTATGGCACCATCTGTGGACGCCTTTAAGCGAAGGCTGGACAACCTTGCAGTGACACAAGGACTGTATCCAAATGGCCTATCCCCTTAAAATCGCATATACCATTCAAAGATAGACAATTAAACTGGTCGTTTTACTTCTTCACATTCCCTTCAGTCTTACTCTCCTGACAGCTTTAACTACACTTATTATTATTATTGTTATTATTATTATTATCATTATTACTGGTATATATTATATATATATATATATGTATACCGGTTGACTGACTGTTGTTACGTTTTCTTATTTTTTCTCTGTCTGTTAGTCTGAATACCTTTACTAATTATATCTATTATTATTATTATCTCTTTTCTATTGACGACGATACCGAAAGACTAACTGGTGAAAGGATCAACTCCATTCACAGTAGTAACAGTCTTAACACACTTCATACTACAGACGCCATATAATTAATCCCAGCACTACTCCCGTTGGAGTCAACCAAAGCTACGACAGTCGAGTGGCGGGACGAGCTACACAGACGTTTACCAAAGATCAGGAACCTCTACCTTACAATCAAGAGGCGAGCGCAAAGAAATCAAATTGGTTTATACTAGCTCGTAAAAAGATATTGGATATTGGATACCAATCACATTGTGAATTAGTGACCTTCAAGTGCTCAGCCGTTCCGCAAGCCGCTATCTTTTGTCCGGATGGGGTTGTCAAGCATGGGTGTGGGAGCACAAGATAAGGTGACTCTGAATGTCTGGCTTATGATATTTTGGCTATCGTTATACAGAAGGTTACAGTCGTAAACATATTATTATGTAGTTCATGCTAACTTTCTGAAGGATAACCATAGTCGACTATGGATCCATGGCTCATGAGCCATTGTCAAGTGCACTTGACAGTAGTATGAGCACTGGTTTATGTTGAGCGTGAAGCTTCGACACACATATGAAGGAAACTGTATACTCGTTAATAATCATTTATGTATGCAAAGTAACAGAAGGTGAGACACTTACTGCACAGTAAGTGTAATGTTGGGACCATATTGCAATATAGTCCCAACATTACAATTCTTGTATATTTTGACAGTAATTTGTACGTAACCAGCAACGTTAGACTGTGGTGATTTGGTAATATAGTCAGAGTGATGGACATTTACAACAATTGTCGTCACTTTCAGTGGTTCGAGTACACATTTGGAGGTCTACCTTTCACCACTTGTTAAGTGCCACGGGTTTAAAAGAGCAGTGTCAAATGAACCCATAAATAAGTAGGTCCCATCATTTTGTGTTAATACACCTCCTCTTCGGTAAGACGTTACTTCCTTATGCTAGGTTGCTGTGTTGTAACAACACGGATGGTTTCACTAGCACTTTTGTGCGATAGCAGTAGTGGTACAATCATAATTAACATATATTGTGTGCCGATACTACTACTTAACTTGATGTTTTATGGTCTACTGTGTGTTCGTAAACCATTATTCCCTATACCTAAAGTCTGGTGTATTGAAGTGAGAAAATAAGTACGATGTCGGGCCATATTTAACAAATAGGCATGTAGTTAACAAAAAAATTCTCCAGTAACTTCATAAACAAAAATGGTGGTTACTGGATTTTCAAGTGATATTTGGGCCATACTGGAATAATCCATGAGATAAAAACATGATTCGCTTAGCCCACTGCACTGACGTTAGTACACTAGTTATGACTTTGTTTCAATAAAATCCAACCCTTTGTAATGATTTACCATATTAACTTTCATTATATGATCATTCTGGTGGTTACAATATTTATAACTTCCATGTGTCTATAGATTCAATAACAAGTATTCTGGTTTAGACATAACCAGTTCGAAAAACAAAGATTTCAAAATGACTCATAAGTCGCTGTACTCACTTCAGGTGCCATTTTATGTTTTCAGGGGTTGGTTTGTAGGGTTTTTGGGTTAAATTCAAAGTGAAACACTAACTGACATTAGCTAGAAGAACAGTGAAACCATGAAGTACTGGACATGTGTTTAGTCATACTTCTGGACTCTACGGCAGTACGCACCCATGACCCCATCGGGTACCGAACTCAGAACTCTGTTTATGAAGCGACCCTGTTGATTATTGAGACAGGAACATAATCCAGTGGGCCATGGGTTTTAACTTCTGCCAACTTGTGATGTGTAGATTCATCTTCAACCAATGTTTTCACTGGGTATATGTTCTAATATCCGGCTCGGGAAACGTGACAACTTACTTCTCACTTAAATCCTAGGCTCTCCATCATAGAGTCAATTCCTAGTGCGAAAGTATTGCTAGTTGCGAATAGGTAAAAGTTGGAATTCATGTTTCGTCCTAGTGACCGAATCACCAACGGGCTTGTCTCGTAATATGAAGGTCCTGATTTTGATCCTTGGTGTGGTTGTGGGTATGTACTGCGGGAGAGTCCCAGGCTAGTAGAATAGTCTCATTTTTAAGTATCCTTTCATTGCTGGTCTATCATATTGACCCATATTCCTTTTTGTAGATAAAAAATATTTTAAGCTTTCTTGTCCCTACATTCTTTCATAAACCAAGTTACAATCTGACCACCTCGTGTGGGACAATTCATCAACAGTTATGTGAAACACTTTACGGAATTCACCCTGTTCTGTGCGCTCTTTCATTCCATCAGCGTAATATAAAGCAATTGTATGTTAAAGATATTTCATCCAAAACCAAAGATTCTGACAGCCTAGTAGAGCAGTCTTTATTTCAAATAATTGAGGAAGCACTTAGATTTAACATACCTATCACACATGTATCAGTTGAAAAACTGAAAGTTTTATCTAATTCAAGATCACATCAGGGTGTGTTACTTGAGGTTTCTCCAATCATTATACATCCTATCTCAAACCTATCTATCCGGAACTTGTTACACTCTTGGAGAAACCCATCAGAAAAATATTTTCCGTTTGTGAAGAAGAATAATCGACCTATTATCTTACTACTAGACCATATTTCAGATGTTATGAACTTTGGAAGTATTTTGCGTTCAGCTGCATTTTTTGGCGTCTCTGCTGTGTTACTATCTACTGCTCCATGTGTTGCTCCATCACCACTTATCAGCAAGCTTAGTGTTGGTGCCATGGAAGGTATGCTATTTTACAGACTGACCGATACCGTAATGGATATGAAGTCTTTGTCAGATGCGGGATTTCTAATCGTTGGTACCTGTGGAGAAAGTCAAATTTCACCAAATGCAATTAGCAAACCCTTGAATTGCTTACAACCGAACGAGGTACTAGTTCATCTGTTATTTAAGTATAGTAGTTTTATCAGTTTTTTCACTTGTGGTATTAAATGGTAGGTTGAGTTTATAATTCGGCGTGTAATATTTTATCAATGCGACTCAGTTATTTTGCCTAATTAAAAAGTGACAACATATCCTGAATGTAATAAATTTGGAACTAGCAACCGCTGAGTTACATTTGAGCTTCACAGGAGCTTATTGCACAATAATTTAGTTCATCTCACACTACAATGGTTGAATTCATGGCAACAGGCCAGGACAAATCTTATTAGCGGAGCGCAAAATCCTAGCGAAATCTAGACTAGTAAGCTCTATTAAGATAAGGTATCTTGAAAAAAACGCAGCTTTTACACTACATACACTTACACAAAACCATAGCCTAGTATGGGACAAAGTGACAGTCGTGAAATCTAATATAACAGGATAAATAATAATAATAATGGCTTTATTCCAAACAGTATTTGTGGTACAGGTATGGAATTTTCAGCGTTCATTACAATATTGCATTTAATTACCTCATAAATTTTATAAGGATTTAGAAATATAAAGCAACAACATAAAGAAAAAGAGAAATAAAAGAAATAAAAAAAAAGAACAGCATTGCATTCACATATTTAAACAATGCACCACAGGATATGATATATAAAATTAGTCTGTAATAGAATATATGAGCAACAATATAATAGTAACAAAGAAAGGAGAACAAAAGTTAATGGGAACTATTTGTTAGAGTGCCGCAGTAAATTGATCATGTCATGCCTAACAGTTTTCTCATCACATAACAGCTGTGCCAGATAAGGTATTGTGGAGTTTTTATACTTGGTAGTCCTGGCATATAGCTTCCTATAGTTGCTTCTAGTTCTACCAGATGAAATGCAAGGAGAGAGCTGCGTATGGAGAGGGTGTTTCGGGTCTGACAATATAGAATTCGCTAGTTTCTTACATGACATTATATGTCTATCCACAATTGTGTTAACCAGTTGGTTTAACGAAATCCCACTTGCCCTACTAACAGCTTTTAGTGCCCTATGCAGCGAAGCAAAGTCTTTCTTAAGTAGTCCAGGAAAGATTAATGGGGAGCAGTAAAGAGGGATGGGTAGAATACAGGAATTGACAAATTGAGAAAGCAAAGACTGCTTTATACCAGACTGCCTAAACTTCCTAAGGTAGAACGTTAAGCGAAACATCTTTCTAGTCACTAGCAAGATGTGAGACGACCAGGAAAGATCGGAGGAAATAGGAAATGGAAGTACTCATGAGTAAAGCTTTACTTGCCTAATCAACTGAGAAGACGAGAAGTAGAAATGATTAAACACCTGTGACAGATATCTAGAAAATACCCCTACCCTTGTGGCAATTGGGGAAAAATGACTGGGAATTATAAAAGCCGAGTTTTGAAGCTGTGTAATTGATATGATCATGAGCCGTAAACTGTTTTTGGACGTCATTCAGTTAATAATACTGTGTCACTGTGATATATGTGCAATAAAAATTTGTACAGTGACTATTCAGTTGACTAAAAATGATTCTAGCATCAATCTGCGTATTGCGCGTTTCAGTTGTAATCCTTGCATAAATTTCCTGGTTTGCAATCTTATATCGTCCTAAGTATTTTTTTCTCCCCTCACAAGAAACTCGTAATACATTCATATAGTACAAGAAATTGTTAGGTAGCGTAAGTTATTGTCCCCAACCGTTTCTACCCATAACATCCAGTTTTCAAATCACTATTACGAAATTACGGACCGTATCACTATGAAGTGTCGCGAAATGAACTGATTCACTTTTGTGGGGTTCTAAAAGTATCTCTCCGTCAGTCAGGAGGCAACATTATATATAACCGTGGTCTTGTTTACCTGTCTGTCAGTCTGTTATATGAAGTGACTTTAAAGCACTTTTAATGATAAAAATTTGTTCTTTCATTACGTGTTTGTTTACAATTATTTATGAACATTATTCTTCTAGGTAGGAGTTAATGACTGTAATAACAATACTGGAATTTTGCCCAGACCAATGGTCTTAGCTTTAGGTAGTGAATCAAGAGGTCTGAGTGAAAATGTCTTAAACGCATGCGATTTATTACTACGTGTCCCAGGCCTTGCAGATACGACTAACTTGGTGAATAAATCGATATCACAAAATATTCCGTCTTCATTAAATGTAGCCGTGGCAGCTGGTATATTATTGTATCAATTAACAATGTATCGACATGGATGTGAAGCAGCTAATACTTCATCATTCGTCTTTCATAAGGAATAAACTCCCTCATCCTTTTTTCAAGATGCTTTTTAGCCCCCTATAATGTTTTTAAAATTTATTTCCGACTTGGTATATGATCATGTATTTATACAAAATTGCTGTTGTCATAAATTGTTATTTTGTTTCTGAATAAATTTCCACCTACTTTTCTAAGTCTTCCTCTTTTTCTCTCTATAGAATGCTATTGGAATGAATGCTTTATCTGTTGCATTTATAGTTGGGTAGATTTTATTGTTTCACCAGTAGTGTTGGAGTATGTGGTCTCATTATTATTACTACTTTTCGTTTCTTGCATTTGAGTGGGACAAACGGCTTCAGCAAGGAGATGAGAGATTATTGAAAATCGTGGACCCAGCTGAAGAGGATGGCAAAAATAGAACAAAGTGAAGATGTGTTGTCGAAGCTCTGTGTTTCATTCGAAACCCAACGGAATAATAATACAACCTCAGTTTTATATCTCATTCCACTCTGTTCTCTGCTATCACTTTTAATCAACTTCACAACTGCCCACAACCTATCATTTTTTCACATGATCTCCTTCATGTCACTCACGAATACCCAACGTATCGGTTCCCATTTGAGTTGTCATGTTATCCTTTGAAAATCTCATCAGCGTAATGTGTGTCCAACCTGTCCCCATTTCCTTCTGCATATTTGTTAGGTAATAGGTTATTAGATGATTCTCTGTCTGCCAGATTTCTTTATTGCTCATCCTTTCTGGTTAGCTATTTGATCTTCAGTGTGAAGCAAGGGCGAATTCTGCAGTAGGCTGTTAGAAATTTTTTTGGTGATTCGCTCCAAGTCTCCGAACCATACCGTAGCACTGACTTAATATTAGTGTTACAGCCTTAGTAACCTCGGTTAGGGACTGTGGGCCTGTGTCTATATCCCATTCAGGCAAGTGTTGGATGTTCGGTAGGCTGAGTGTGGCTGTAGGCTCCTCGAAGTTTTCTTTCCAGTCGTCTATCCTGGGAGCTAATTATGGTGCCATTTTTCCCAGATATTGTTTCACTTATCGTTTACCTTTTACCATCTGTTCCCCTGATAAGTCTACATAGTTGTCTGGTGTTACCAATCGCCGATGCCTTTTCCATCTCCGTAGCTTTTGTTGCTCACCACTGTTCACGGTCGTTACGAAGACTTCTTGTTAGTTTGCGTTTGAGCAGCTTTCGCTCCTCATCATAATTGGGGCTCGCCGGAATCAGTCTTCTTGCATCAGTCAGTTCGGATGAGATGGTAGAGAACCAATGGCTCTTACTAACTTTTGCTTTTAGGGTATTAACAACTTTTACAGCTGTGTCTACAGCTAACTGTATGTTGTGCCAGGCTACCTCAGGAGGAGTCCTGCTGTCGACCTCAGATACACGTTTCGCTATTTCCTCCTCAAATAGGGACCCAGTGTCTCGATCTAGTTGAGGACGTAACTGCTTCGCTGCCAGCAGTCTTTTATGTCCGTTTAGTTGTAAGCATGAACGTGCGCGGACTAGAGCGTAATCGGAGTCTACGCATGTGTTCCAGAAGGAGCGGCAGTCTTCTACTGACCCTCTCCGACGATACCCTATTGCTATGTGGTCTATTTGAATCCAGCGTTGATTTCGTGATGGAGGTAGCCAGGTTACTCAGTGTCTCTCTTTGTGCCTAACGTTATTGCTGACTAGGAACAGATGATTATCTGAGCAGAACTGTAGAAGACGATCACCGTTGTCGGTTCGTCGGCAGAGAACTCCATACGTGCACACCTACATACTTCTCAGTCTTGCATAACTTCCCTACTTGGGCATTGAAGTGGCCTGCTAAAACAACTATGTCTGAACGTTTTGCTTTTTGAAGCAAATTAGACATTTTCAGGTAGAAATCATCCTTCAGTTCATCCGAACTGCGGTCTGTTAGGGCGTAAGCATAGACTACGAAAAGACAACAACGGGAAACGTCGTCCTTCCGTCATCTAACTGACCCGCACACATACGACTATCTACTGGGATCCAGTGAAGAAGTGATTTTTCTGCCCTAACACTCAGTGCTGTCCCTACACCTGTGAGTCTTCGCGAACTAGCTGAGGGGTCTCCTGACACCCTCAAAGTGAATTTTGCAGATTCACCTTGTTGGCCGGGTGAGGTTAAGTGAATGACCATACTCGGGTCTTGTATGCCTGTCTCCGAAACACAATATACATCCATGACTCGAGATGCTAGAGTTCTTGGTAGTGATGCCTGTTGTCCGATTTGGCAGAGGGTCTTGATGTTGAATACTCCTATATGAAGTTGGCGACATGGCTTTAAAAGGTTGTTGGGGGTGTTTATATGGCTCTCACCGTTGTTTGTGGTCACAGAGTGAAGTGAAGATGACTCACTAGCCTGCAGAATAGTAATGACTGTAGTAGGGAAGCAAGATGGGGAAGGTGATGTTGATAAAGGAGAATGATGCTCGGGAAGGCTTCGTGTGCTCTTGGAAATGTGTGGGCGATTGTTACTTCCCGGCTGCCCACACCGTGGAAGTTGGTTGATTCTTCGGGTACCTGAAAAAGAAAGAGGGTTAATGTTGCGTGACTGTAGAGCCCATGGAACAACTGCTTGAGGCCGGTCACATATGGCCTATATGAAATGGTTTCTTGGTTTGGTTCCGTATTAGTAAACTTACCACCGACTACGGACCATCGTAGGGTTGAAGTCGACCTTTTCTAGCCCCCTCTCTCCAGAGTAGAAAGACAGCATAGCTGGTATGCTGATCATCTGAGAGAAACACCTTACTGCTGTTGCATCTCTGTTTCCCGGCAGTACGACTTCGCCCACAGACCTCCAGCATAATGTAAAAAAATTCTTACACAATACCGGTAACTGCTTTTAGTCTAATCGCTGTCCTAACAACCTTCCTGGCATGGTAGGACCTGCAGGAACAATAGTTCCAGCCAGTGTAGCTTGTTGGGTCATTGAGGTATGCAAGCCCGATCACCACGTCAAGGTGTCAGCTATCGGTCCAACAATTTCCGAGGGTGATGGATGCCTTTTCTACAGGATCATAACGACAATTTCCTACTGAATTAATGTAGTATTCATGTTGTTTATTACAAGATGTAGATTGCTTAGTGCTTACTTGATATGATTTTCATGTTGGTACCAAAGTGTACTTATATGTATTACTCCCTTTGATTTAAATTATGTAGGATTATGAAAAACGAACATTCAGGTGAGGTTTTGTTACCACCTTCTGCTTTTCTTGTTACCACCTCTGTCGGCATACATCATAACGATGCGGTTGGTACTACGAAATCAATGGTCAGTAACAGAGATACTGAATTATCATCAATGGATTCAGATATGAGTGAGTAAGTAATTCGGCAGAAAGAAAATCTGGTTTTTTGTCTTTGCCCTTGGAATTACTTGACTGGTAGAATTCAGTCATCAATATCACTAAGACCCAAACTCTTGAGGCTGGTTGCTCCACATTTACCAAACAATGTATCCGTTACAGTGTTACAGGAGGTCAATTATCAACCCGAATAGCTTACTGTTAACGTTTCTGCCCGTGCAGCGCAAGGTGGTATGAGTCCGAGCGGACATCAGTTCTTTTGGTGTTGCAGTTGCTAACAAGTACGAAAGCTAGGTCCGGGACTTTCTGTTGATCGTGTCTAGCCATCTAATATTAATTAGGAGTTCTAATATGTCAGGCTACGACTATATCACTTCACTACTAAGGTATTACTATTCCAATTTACATTTCATCACCTACTGATACCAGTTAGTGAATCATTGAATACCAGGAAGTACTGAATAGCTGTTTTGTCCTGAACTAGGGCTCCAGCAGTACGCACCCATGACCCTACTAGGAATTGGACCTCGAACTTTCTGGTTACAAGGTGAACCTATTAACCATCCAGTCACCCGGTTGGAATCCAATGACCCTTGAATTCTAACTTTTGCCATTTTTTATAATAGCGTTTCAGTCAACCAATCAATTGACAGGATTGGTAGAATCCACGAGTTAGTTGATTTCAATCCCGGAGCCAAATCCTCAAAAGGTTGACATTGTAACCTGAAGGTTCGCGTTTCGATCCCTTTTAAGGTCACACATAGGCACTGCTGAAAAGTCGCAGGCTAGAACTAAGTATCTATCCAATAATGCTTGGTTTTCAATGATTCTGTAGATGGTGTCATTTAGTGATAAAATACACACTAAAATTAATCTTTTATCCCTACAGAACGCAAAATCTGAATTTTACTATCCATTAAATTATTTGAAAATAATTAAACCATTTATATAGGAAGGTGTGCAACCATAAAACAATAAATGACAGAATTATTATTTTAATGTGAACAGAGGTCTTGCGAATTTATGAAAACAAATGCTTTCATGCCTACTGCTAACATTAACTTTTTCGAATGTGTAACTAACTTGTGTATATCAGTAAAGTGTTAAGAGGGTCACATGACATATACTACTTGAGGACTGCTTATATCAGTAGTAGTTATCCATTCTCGATATTCATATCAAAATGATGTGAGCACCAAACAGTCAGTTTTCTTATTTGATTTAGTTACTATTTAGACGTGATGTGAACATTTCGAATCTACAATAGAAAATATTAAGGAATTTTGGCAAATATACCCTTGAGAAACTCCAAAAATATGCCCCATTCCCAGATATTGCATTTTATAAGGAAAAATAAATCTTTACCTTCCTAGTCAGCCTTCTTTGTCTTCTCAGTGTAGAAGTAGTAGCCTACTGATGAGCCGTATAGTGCTGTTGCTTTCAAGTAAAAGTAATAACGAACCTAAGAATTCCAGTTACAGCAACTAGGCTTTTTTGTATATCATTAAATGGCGAGGTATTTTTGTTGAAATTCACCTGTGTTTATAAAAGAATACATACATCGGAACACTTAAGCTGCTCTCATAGGTAAGTAAGGTGTTTCGGTGTGGGAATTCAACCTACATTTAAAGCTTAGAAGACTGTTGAATATCCCTTTGTCAGAAGAGCTTCATTGAACTAAGCCTGCGTATGTCATTCACAACTTCATTTATTGACAAAACGCCATAAAGGAAAATCATCTGATGGTAAACCGAATGTTACAACTTATTATCTATAAGTAGTTTACTTTAATAGAGCTTTCCTGTCTTTAGTCTCCATCAATCAGTAAATGTAGTTGGCTAAAGCTCATTATGGCATTTTCACATTTTAGAAAGCAGAACTGTGTTCACTATTCATTCATGTGATTACAACCAGTATCAACAGAACAAAATATTTA